CGGGGGCGGGGGCGTCGGCGCAAAGCGGCTGCGCTTCGCGGGGGCGCTGTCGCAAGCGCGGCCGCCGCCGCCGCCGCCGCCTTCGCCTGGGGAAAGTGGTCGCTCCCTCGCCCGAGGCGGAGCGGTGAGCGAGCGCCGGTGACAGCGGATGGCGGTGGCGGTTCGCGAGGCTCCTCGCCGGTCCCCAGGGCGGCACTGCGCCGGCCGCGGCCGCTGCTTTCGGAATGGCTTCTTTATTCGGAAAGGACTGAGAGATTGCTTTTGCTGCTCATAAACATCAACGTGAGGTTCCTTAAGCAGAATATTCGTGAACAAGTTCTGAATATTCCTGAAAACAAGTTCTTTCCTAAAGTTGTTTAATTCGAAAGCATTTAAATAGACTGTTAAAGGTAATAAAATATTGTTAAAATTCAATGATAAAACTTCTACGTGCATATTATAAAACAATACATACATTATGAATTTAGTTTGAATACTTTTCCCAGAATTTGGTTTTCCCTAATTTGATGCAATCCCGTATTTTTTTCCGATGGGTATTCATATGAAAGAGAATATCTTTTTTTAGCAATACAATGCTTTAAGAAGAATTATTTGAAAGAAAGATCGTGAAAAATATTCATAAATATTTCAATTAAATTCACCATCTTCCCACAACTTGAAATTCCTCTGCGGCATGAAAATCTAACAAACTCTAAACTAACACGAAAATCTGCAATGGACGTGCATCCTAAACCTGACAGAATTGAATGTCATGCACATTCTGTAAGTACTTCATAGCCGGTGTATAGATCGTCACATTTCCGTCAATGAATCTATTTAATATCCGAAGAAATATACACCTTTCAGTTAGCCATGAAAGAATGAATATAGTTGATCACATTTTATACACAGACTGCAGTCTAGCTTCGAAATCATCTTCCGAAACAAGAAAAGGTACAACTAACTTTCAAGGTCCCGTTTCCCTCTGAAATTGTTTTTATTTATACAATTTACACAATTACACAATTTTACATTATTTACTAGCACATTAATTTAACCTGCTAAGAGAAAAAATTAAATTACGTAGTTCATTACACAAGCGACAAATGCAAATACGTTAATAAATATAATTATGTTAAACCGTTCACACAGTTGCCACATAGCTTGGAGAGGCAAATGTTGTGTAAATTCATATTTACAAAATTGTTAAATTAAGAATGAAAGCAAATCAAGGATTGGACTTATTTAAGGAATAAATATTTTAGTTCGTAAGACAAAGGGGCTCCTTTCAAAAGTTCAGGGGGCCGAGGCTCGCCTCACCCCCTTCTACGTCGCTACTAACACTTACCTCCATTGTGTTTGATTTGAATTCAATTGCTTTTGACATCAGTACACGATCGATACTAATTGAGACTCGACACTCTGTATTTAGAACGACACTTTCCCATTCGTTAGGCACCGTTACTCTCCGCTCTGCGGCGTCGCGTCATATTGGCGATCACTACGCATTGTTACGTAACTGCTCCTGCCCGCCCGCGCTCGCAGCCGGCGCCGCCGCCTCCGCCCCCGCGAACGGAGAAAGCTGTGGAGGCGGCGGCGGCGGCGGAAGGCACGCCCCAGGCGCACTTTC